AATATATACACATATGTATTTTGGTATTTTGTATTTTGGTACCTTTTGGTACTCTCTCACAAATTGTACGGACACAGAGTGATCTTGATCCAGACGGCTGCTGGGTCCAACAGTGACGCTCTGGTTATCTGAAAGAGTTCATTGGACAAATGTTTACACTCTATAGCAGATTTAATTAGGAAGCAATGGAAGAGGGTGCAGACTGAGAGAATTCTAAAACCCCTATTTTTAGTTATAAAACATGAACCACCAAATACTTTGACAAGAAAAAATGACACTTTCCCATGGATCCGCTGATCCTGCATCACCAAAGATTTGATAGAATAAAAGCATGGCACCAAGGAATTAGATTTTGCAATTTTTGGAGGAAAAATAATCAAAATAAATAATAAAATTTTTACATAAAGGTAACTACAAACCTTTAATTGTCGACAAATTTAATGTGTTTTCATTAAATGTACAAGCTCAGTTTCCAAAAGAAGATTTGCAATTTTTCCACTATGTTAGACTGAATATAATTAGAAACGGGGTCGAGCACGCAGGACGGCCCAACTTAAACCTTTTTACCAGAATGTTCAACAATTAGGAGGACCACTTACCTTATGATCCACCCGGAAAATAAAATCCTCCACTATACCTTTAATATAAGATAACTCTGCTGCAACGTTTGGTTCCCTAAAATTTAACTGAGAATTTGCATTCCTGTTTCTTTTTCATATACCTTGAACATCACCTTGTTTTCCAGAGACAACAGCAGGGGTCTCCATGTTGCTGACCGAGTTTAAAGGCCTCAGTTCTCAAAAAAACTCAAATCACGGTGAGACTTTCTGGGGATTTATACCAACAATGTCGATCTAGAAACGATTTGCACTCAGGTACAATTAAGTTCTTGCTGTAAAACCACAGAATATTTGTGTTTTAAAAAACCATCGTCATGGTGCCCAGCTGTTCATCCTAAAAATGTTTACATTTGAGAAATTGGTAGTTATCCCAGCTGTAAAAAAAATAAATCATAAAAAATCGGAGAAAACAGCAAAGTTACTCTCAAAACTTTTTCTAAATTAGCTTTTCAAAGTTTTATTCTTGGTTTGCATTTCTTTTTGATATTTGTTTAGCATTTCCATTTATGAAAGAGTTCATTGGACAAATGTTTACACTCTATAGCAGATCTGTTTAGGAAGACCTAAAAGAGGGTGCAGACTGAGAGAAATTTAAAATCCCTCTTTTTAGTTATAAAACATGAACCACCAAATACTTTCACAAGACAAAAATGACACTTTCCCATTGATCCACTGATCCTGCATCAGGAGAAAATAAAATCCTCCACTATACCTTTAATATAAGATAACATTTCTGCAACATTTGGTTCAATAAAATTCAACTCTGAATTTGCATTCCTGTTTCTTTTTTATATACTTTGAACATCACCTTTTTTTCCAGAGACAAGAGCAGGGGTCTCCATGTTGCTGAACGAGTTTAAAGGCCTCAGCTGTCAAAAAAAACTCCAATCACGGTGAGATTTTCTGAAGATTTATACCAACGATATCGATCTGGATGCGATCTGCTCTCAGGTACAATGAAGTTCTGGCAGTCAAGCTACAAAATATTTCTGTTTAAAAAAAACCATCGTCATGGTGCCCAGCTGTTCATCCTAAATATGTTTACATTTGAGAATTTGGTAGTTATCGCAGCTGTAAAAAAATAAATCATAAAAAATCGGAGAAAACAGCAAAGTTACTCTCAAAACTTTTTTTAAATTAGCTTTTCCAAGTTTTATTCTTGGTTTGCATTTCTTTTTGATATTTGTTTAGCATTTCCATTTATGAACGAGTTCATTGGACAAATGTTTACACTCTATAGCATATCTATTTAGGAAGCACTAAACGAGGGTGCAGACTGAGAGAAATCTAAAACCCTCTTTTTAGTTATAAAACATGAGCCACCAAATACTTTGACAAGAAAAAATGACACTTTCCCATG